AACAGGATAAATTAATAATGGTCCCTCTGCTGTGGATGTGATGTTTCCAAGATGTGTCATGTTGGGTGGGGTTCCTTTCTGTAGCGACTGCCATCTCAGCAGCTTTGTCAGTAATGAGCATGAATATCCCAACTTCACAGAAGTGTCCCTGCTATCAAATATTGTTTTGACATCAGGTTAAGACTGTCCTCAATGACAGGGCATTTAATTAGCTTGAATAGTATATTGGGGCATTGCAGCTGTTTAACAAGTGTTAGGTTTTAATTTGTGTTCGCTATGGTAGCTCCTTACATTTGCCTGTTTAAATTTTGTATTGCATTCTTTAGGATGATTTTATTGCTACCTGTATTTTATAGCCTGGTGTAAACCACCCAGAGAGCTTTGGCTATTGGTCATATAAAAATAAAATTAATAATAAATGCTGCTCCAGAAGGCCAGACTAGAACCAGCGGTTGCAACGTGCAGGGAAGCAGATTTCAGCTGTGTTAAGTTGGTGAAATTCCCTGACAGTGAAGGCTGTTTGACAATGGAAAATCATTCTTTAGGCTGTGTTTTTATTCTTTCTGTTTATTTATTTATTTAAAGCATTTTTATGCCGCCTCCTTTGCAACAAGCTTCGGCTTTGCAGCAAGCCTTTTTATGATTTATACTGCCCCGAGTGTCTCAGCCTGTTGGACAATATATATAACTAATACATAAATCAGGCAAAATTATGCTACTGACTGGAATTCAAACCTATTTTGGCAACCAGTTCTCATTTCCGGTTTTTTTTCACAAGACCACTGTGGCAACGGTCCCAGCGAACCACCACCAAAAAAGAGCCAGTCTCCAGCTAAGCCTGGGGGACCTTGCCTTAGGACAAATGCATGGCCTTTATTTCTATTTATAACCCACCCAATGAGGGCCTATCACTGGGGTAAGCAGGCAAGCAAGAGTCAGCTCTTCCCTCCACAGGATTTCAGCCATGCCAATTCAATTCTTCACCCCTTTCCCCTAGCCATGTATATAATGCTTCTGAACTTATAGGACATTTTCCAAGGCCACAAATCAACCATAAAGCATAGCAACTCTTGTCCTCATCTGTGACTACCCTGCGGAAGAGGAGCCTTATTAATGTCCCTTCATGCAACACCGCCCCCTCGCCCCACATTTGCCCTCTTACGTGTTGCTGTGCTGACAGTGATGTTCTCGGAGATATACACATCCAGCTGGTGGGGCATTCCGAAGTTATAGGTCACCCAAGGTCTGGGCAGGTGGTAGGATGGGGCCAGAGTCACTGACACCCATTTGAGCATGGAAATGGCCACGCAAAGGCTCCCCAGGCTCAGGGCCTGCATCACAGCGGCCAGGAGGCTGTAGACGGTGGACAAGGAGAGCTCGTGCAGTTGCTCGTGGACGGAGCGCGCGCGCAGGCCCCGCGTCGAGAGCACCAGGTGCAAGAGCTGCGAGGAGTGCGCCTGCCCCAGGTCCTGCCTGACGGGTACCGGTGTGACCTGCCAGGGGGAAGCGGGGAGAGATCAGAACCTCCATCTACACGCCAGAAGGCTATGGAAGTGTACCAAAGGCAGTCCTGGAAGAGGTTGTGCGTGCTCAGAGGGATGAGAGGGGCTCAGTGTGTTTGTGTGTATACACGCTGCAATGGATAGCTGATGGCGTGTGTGTTGTGCATGGTTATGGGTGGTGATCTGAGGGGCAAAAGGAGATGGGGAGGATGAGTTTTGGTAGAGAAAATGTAGGGGGAGAGAGAAAACGGTCGCCTTTCGTAAAAGAGGTCTCTGCGGGAACCTGGGCGTGCAAAGGGGCAGTGGTTGGGATGCGTGGCTTTTCCTCCGGGAGAGGCATCTTGTGCCGGTGCTTGTGGTAGTTCCCCAGATTTCCAAAGTGAAGATAAGAAGCGGCGGTGAGCCGTCAGGACAAAAAATAAAATGGAGGCTGGGAAGCGGGGTGAAAGGCAGGCGGCTGCGAGCACAGCTGGCGACGCCCGGGTCTGGGGGCCTCTATCCGCCTTGAGGGTCGCACGAGCGCTCCAGGGCTGCACCCCAGCCCGAGAAGGGGCACCCGAGGGCGGCGCTGGCCAGGCTCAGCGGGACCGGCACGGGGCCCCGGCGACGAAGCGGGAGGCCCGGAGAAAGGCGAGCGCTCCCCCGGCCCCACGGGCGGCCCAGGCCTGGCTGGAGGGGCTCTCCGCGCCCGTCCTCGGCCAGCGCGGGCGCGGCCCTGCTCCCCGGGCCTGCCCTCACGGCAGCCTCGGGGCCCCGGCGGGCCGGCTCGCGCCCCCGCACCCGCCGCGCCGCGCCGCGCCTCCCGGCCTGGCCCCGGGCCCCGCTCGCCTCGAGGTGCCTCGAGCCAGCGAACCACGACTGCCCGCTCCGGGGCGCCGCCGACAGGGCGTTCCCCTCCCGCGCCATGGACGCTCCGGGGCCGCGCAGGCAGAACGCCTCGGGGCGCCGAGCGACGGTTCCGGGCCGGCTGCGCGCCGCGGCCTCCCCGCGAGGGGCACGTGCGCCGGGGGCCCCGACGCGGGGCCTGGCAGCGCCCCCGCGCCTGCTCCTCGGAGGCGGGTTGCGCGCGGGCGTGCGGGGGGCAAGGGACGCGCCGTGGCTGCGGTGCCGATGCATTCGGACGACAGCCTGTGGCTCTGGCATTGGATTAGTGGCAGCTCCCCTCAAGCTACACTCAGCCCGGCATGCGGAGCAGAAGTGGAAGGGCGTCGAGGCAAGCCCCCCACCCGCTTCCCCATGTGGTCGCCCATCCGGCAGCTGGCTCTCACCTCACCCACTTAGCACAGGTGACTTGACCTGTTAGGTGGATGCGTAGCTCTGCAGGCAGGAGTAGTGTCATGTTGCCTGCACTCCTCGTGGATTATAGTTTGGTTATGCGAGACCATCAATCTTCTGCTCAAATCTTTAGTTTCCCAAACCCAGATAGTAGATTTTCAACAACGGTGCCAAGATTCAGGCCAATTTCGGAATCAAAGGATACTGGCCCTCAAGCTGCCCAGCGGAGACAACTGGCATGCATGCTCCATGAAGGACATGCTTTCATAGGAAGGCATAGCAAGAAAGTGGGTGTTGTGCTAGTTAAGGTGGTGGGTTGGGAAAGATGCACTTTGCAATCATCCAAAATTGGGGTATTGGAAATACTTTCTCCAGAGGGGAGAATGCTTACAAATGAATACCCATGTGCCTGGAAATAAATTGATTCCAGCACCAGAAATGCTGTGCATATTTTCTTTGGAATAGGCCCAACTGAACCCAATGGGTGTTGTACCTCAGGAAGGACACAGGGCCCCATTGCTTAGTAATATAATTTAATATTTACATTCCTACATGAAAGCATATTTTAAAATAATGCTCTATAGGATCGTGACTCTTACCAGCAATGGGACAATTGCAGGGTGCAGTGCAACATTTTAGGTTTAGTTTCTTTAGGAAACAGGTCACTCATTTATGACATTTTGAAATCTTTGAGTATATTTACTAATCTATGCGCTGCGCTTAGGCCAAAATTACAGCTTTAGTTTTCTTGAGGTTCAAACTGAGCTCTCTGGCCTCTTTCTCATCTTTTGTCCTGTGCAGTTGCATAACTCTTAGCAGTGGAAAGCCAAAAGAGGCCAGCCGGCCTTGCACCCAGACTAGGAAAGTAACCTTTGTCCAGCCAGTGTGGAACTGAATCTTGCAACACTAGAATCGTCACAGCTGGAAGGAATGTTGGAGGTAATCCAGGCCACAGCTGAATCTCCCAAGGTTGCTTCTGAACACCCAAAGGCTTCTTTCGCAATTTATTAATTTTAGGGTGAAATAATTTATGGATTTTCCCCTACATCTCAAAATACATGAATGCAAATGTTAAAAGACATGTATAGTTTGCAAAGATCATTTGTTTACTTTATTCCAAACCTTCACATGTATTCAAAGATATACCGTATTTTTTGCTCT